TTCATACTTTCAGATTTTATTTTTAGTAATGGAACCTCATTGGTGGCTGCATTGAGATAACAGGGAAGGAGCTGATTGTTTGATTAATTAAGTGCTTATTATAGTGCTTAAAGTGGAACTATGGGCAAAATCAAATATATGATGTAATCTGTAAATAACATTGACACCAAAGGTTTTGTTTTTCCCTGTAGAATAATTTGAATACCTGTTGGTCCTGCCAGCAGCTGTTATTTTTTCAGTTTTTGTAACAGGCCAAGCTGTCCAGAAAAAGATACAGTAACAGGGGTTGGGACAAACCATACAAGGGCCTGTGTCAATGGGATTTCCATTGCCATACAAGTCTAAGGGAATGCAAAGCCTGGTTGAAGCAGGTGAAATGCAGGTCAAAAGGAGGTCAACTGGGGGTCAAATACACCAGTCAGTGAATCCTAAATGATCTCAAAAGCCTCTCAAACTGATGTCAAAATGATACCATCAACACAAGCCCAAAGCCTGTCACCACAGGTCCTAACACTGACAGGGGTGCTTACAATGGTAAGCTTTATTCAAGGGAAATAGGAGCTGACAATTTTATTTTGGGAGAGGGGGGGTTAAACCTTTTTTTCAATAAGTCTGATTCTGTAACTTCTTAAAGTCTGCAGAACAAGCAGCCCCGACACCCATTTAAAGGAAGTAGAAAAATAACAGTTCTACTGACAGGATCAACAGACAATTAAAACAAGGGAGACTCAGAAAAAACAAGAAATGCTGTATTAATACTAGAGACAGACTGCATCATCTATGACATTTTTTATTTTGCCACTAGTTACACTCTAACTTTCTGCACTGTGCAGATCTATGTTGTTCCATTTTATGATTTAGAAACCATTGTAGTTAAAACATAAATATGTGTGATTAAATAAATACTGTGTTCATTTCTCATGCAAATACAAAATGCTATTTTGTAAAAAAAACAAACACTTTAGAAAGTAACAATTTTGGATAGCATGGGGAAAACTATTACTATTGGAAAGTTGTTTTACTGTATGTTACACTGTATCCTCTTCCACTGCAGTTAGGGGAAGCTAACAATCATTTAGCACCCTGGGCCACCAGAGTAAAGTTACATCAGCGTCACAGCAGGACTGTTACAGAGGATTTTCATTGCAGGATGCCATTCGGAAAGGGTTTTTTACATTACAAAGCTTATTTTTATCTTCTTCCTATTCAACCAGCAGCACCTAGTGCTTTGTTCAGTTCAATTCCATACAATGAATCTATCTATCTATCTATATATATAGATAGATAGATAGATATAGATATAGATATATATATAATGTGTGTGTGTGTGTGTTTCTGAGTTTAATTTTAAAGCAGATAGATTTTTAGCTGATTATGCCTATGATCTACAAACTACATGACCACGCGTCTCCTAGTCCTTCCCTTCTCTACTTTTACATGGCCTAGATCTATTATTATTATTATACAGGATTTTTATGGCGCCAACAGTTTGAGCAGCGCTTTAAAATATAAGGACGACAATACAGTTACAATGCAATTCAAGACAAGGTAGTTAGGAGGACCCTGCTTGTGAGAGCTTACAATCTAAAAGGGAGGGGCAAGTGATACAAAAGGTGGTAGCTGTGTGGGATTGAGATGTTTGAGAAAGTAATATTTCAGTGGTTAGTTTGGGGAGGGATAGGCTTCCCTGAAGAGATGAGTCTTCAGTGATCAGGAAGACAGAGTAGGAGATAGGCGGACAGGTTGGGGTAGGTAATTCCAGAGGATGGGAGAGTTTACGAGTGAGCTAGAGAGCAGGAGGTCTTGGGAGAAGTGGAGAGGAGAGTTAGGGTGATACTTTGAGACAAGGTTGGGGATATAGCTTGGGTAGAGTTGTGGATGGCTTTGTAAATGAGTGCTAGTATTTAGAATTTTATTCTTTGAGTGATTTGAAGCCAGTGGAAGGATTGGCAGATGGGGTTTCAGAGTTTCAGACAATGAGTGGTTCATTAGGTGATCTAGGAGTCTAGCAGCAGCATTCATGATAGACTGAAGGGGTATAGTCTGTTTAGATGTAGACCAATGAGGAGGGAGCTGAAATAGTCATTCAGTTCTGTCACTGAATTTTTGGAAACCAGGCTAACCAGAGATGTACGACACTGCCCACCAGACTTGTAAACAAGATTCACCCATTGGAAAATATCCTGAAAAACTTCTACCATTCTGCACATAGACTTTTCTGGCAATGTTTGTTTTGTAATAATCAGAGGACTAAAGAATTGCTACCTTTGGTGGTAACCATTTGTCAGCGTGATTTTTGAATGCAGAGCTACAGTCAACTGAAGTTATATGCAGATTTTAAGGGGGGTCCCCTCCTCAATCCACAGCCTCCTTACTGGTTCAGTGAGGGTACCCATCACATTATAGGGCCAACATGGAGACTATGGAGGTGGGAAGGGGTGAGACCGAGCTGAACTTTAACCAGTTGACATCCGCGGTGTTAAACCCCCTTCCCATCCAGGCCATTTTTCAGTATTCAGCGCTGCGGTACTTTAACTGACATTTATTCCGTCATGCAGCGCTGTACTGAAATGAATTTTATACCCTTTTTTGGGGACAGATAGAGCTTTCTTTTGGTGGTATTTATTCACCACTGGGGGTTTTATTTTTTTACTATATTAAGGAAAAATTACCGAAATTTAAAAAAAAAAAACAGTTTCCCCTATATTAAATGATAAAACATTTATTATTACCCAATTTTTTGGTAAAATATAAAAGATGGGGTCACGTCGGGTAAAAAGACACTAAACATGTCAAGCCTTAAAATTGCGTGCGCGCGCGAAACCTCAAAAAACGATAATACCCAAAATTGGCCCTAGGCGACGCTTTAAAAGCTGTTACCGCTCATCAGTTTAGTGTTATCAGTGATTGATGGCCCTAAAATGATTGCTCTCACTGCGACGTTCGCGGCGATATGTAACATGTGTAGCGCAATTGTAATTTTTGCGCGCTGGGGCACCGGACGCGTATTTACGTTTATAGGCGCGTAAACGTGGGGGTGGGGGAGTTAAACATTTTGGGGGGGTTTTTTCCCCTTTTTTTATATGTGGCTTTTATTTTATTTTATTTTTTTATGTGTTACTTTTCTTTTTTTTTATTTATATTTTTTTTTTTGCACTTATTGTTATTGCTATTATATAGGGGGATAACAACCCCCTATATAATAGCAAAGGCACACTGACAGGTCCTCTTTATGGAGATATTAGGGGTCTCTAGGACCCCTAATATCACCTATGGACCCCAAAAGAAGCTGATGAAGCAGAGATCTGCTTTATCAGCTTCTTCTCTCTGGCAATAGCAGCCAGATGACTGACAGGTGAATGCGGAAGTGATGTAACACACATCACTTCTGCATTCACAGCCCGGACGGGGATCAGCAAGGAGGTATGCTAGGGGGCAGCGCGAGCAGAAAAAAATTGCCGTCTGGAGACGGCAACCCGCAGATGCTGCAGTGCAGTCCATCCGTTTTTTTACTACGGGCGGACGGCAAGAGGTTAAAAAGGAAGTTTGAAATATCAATGTAACTTTAGTTGCCTGTATCTCTGGATCAACTAATAAATAGGGTTTTCACTGAAGGTATCATATGTATTTTTAAATGTGCCTCATTTTCATTTGTGAGAGTTTTTATAGGTTTACTTAAATGTCTAATATTGTAATTGGCCCCTTGGTGACTATTAAACTAGAAAACAGTGCTAATAAAATTACATAAGATCTGGGATTTTTATACAAAATAGATAAGTACAAGGGTTGCCATTCAGATGTTTGAATCTCTACTAGAGAGATAATAGTTGCACTCTGATTAGTCCGTATTGGTAATGCCTGCTGATTTTTTGCCTCCATACTGTATGCTGCTGTACGCTAATATAAGAGACAAGTACATATGCAAATGCTTCCATTGCACAACACCACACCATTATAATATTGTCTAGCTGAATATCAGGGCTTTGTGCCACCGAGCATTACTAAATGTTTATCACTGCATGAATTATATAAGTAAACGAAAATAAAGTTGAAATGAGTCTAACAACATTCTCTTCTACTATAAGCATTTTCCATAATGGTTTCTGTACAAGCCCATATGACAAAACTTTGTGTTTGTTTTTTTTGGAAAAACTATAACTTGTTTGTTGTTGTTAACTATTTCCAAGCAATACTCTTTGGCCTGTATGACATTACTGGACGGGATAAAAATCTTAGGACTAGAGTCATAGACTGATTAGCATTGTTAGTATACTTATTGTTAAGAAATAGCATAGAGCAGTTACCCATACCCACTAGAATGTATATGCTAGGCATCCTCATTGCCTTTTGTAGCTTTAATAAATGATCTCAATACTTATTATTAATGTAATAATTGGATGTTATTTATTAACATTTTAATTGAAGTTAAATCAAGCAGAAATTTAAAACAGCGATGGAACATATTTAAGCTTATTTAGTAAGACAAAGAACAATCAAAAAACTATTGTAATAATAATTAAGTGATATAAATCCAGTAAAGAAACTGAATGGTTGCTATGGGTTGCTGTTTTTAGCACTTTAGATTTCCACTGCCTTTTTTAATAATGCAATTTATATCCAAGCACCGTTTTTTATATAGTTTCGAGTTATATAATCATCAGACAGTATTATGTACCAGAAAGCTATTGTCAGCATTATCTATACCTTCCAATTAATGCACAGTTAGAACTCATTACTTTAAATTATCTTACAAATCTGAAATATTGCTTTACTCTTCTTACTGCACTTTGGTACTTGTGACAGTTGGCCACAACACATAAATAAACTACACAAGAGCAATGTGAGCGAACTAATATCCCAGTTAATAATGTATCAGTTTCCCAATACCAGCTGTGTTCGCTTTAACTAGCAGCCAGACAACATCATAAAGTATCTTCAAGTTCTAAATTCATAAATTTTCCAGTAGCAGCAACTTGGCATGCTGCACTTTTATTACTAACCTCATGTTAGCAGTCTGCGCTGTTTTCTCTGCTATTTCTCCTTTGTGTATATGTGTATCTGCCTGGTCCCAAAAGCTGATCAGCCTTGGCTCTATCTTTGTTCTGAGGTTGCTGTGTTATGTGCCTGAGAGTAAGGGCTGCTACTCAGTACTCTGGTCACGCCTCCCAGTCTGTAACTGTTCCCCACCAAAAGAAAAAACCTGACAGACTTTAAAGAAGTGCTTAACTTGGAAAGGAAGAAGACTGTAATAAATGGGATTGTATTTGTTCAGAATAGCTTGCTAAGCGCTGGAGTTTAAAGAGAGCCTGTCAACTGCAGACCATCACACACTGACTTTACCTGAAAAGACACCAAAAGTATTACATATATGATACCATGACTGATGGTTACATTTATTAAAATGTAAAACTTCCGACATGCCATTTAAAAGGAAATAACTGCTTATATAAACTGAACCCACACTTCAAAAAATATTTGCACAGTTTATCCTAAAGTAATAATAAATGTTATTTTCATCTTTGACTTATTTTATAGATTGTCCCTCTAGTGTCAATCCGTATGTCTAACAAGTTCAATAAGAAAAGTTGAACTAAATTTTCCTAAAAATGTTAAGAACTAAAAGTAGGGATGCACAGATACCAGTTCAGATACCAGTGCTGATACTTGGCATTTTTTACAACCCCGTAGCCAATGCTCCTTAAAAATGACAGCTGCCTCCTAACTTTTAAGTTTTTCAAGTTTTTGTTCAAGTTTGTCTATTTGCTCTGTGCACATCCTGTAGACTCTTTGTAGAACCTTCTGTGGACAATAAGGTTGATTTACTAAAAGCTAATCAGCTGTTCACATTGTAAGGGAATTTGCACTTTGCAAGAGAAGTTTCCTCTTAGTTTATTGAATGAGGTAACACTCAACTGACTTCCATCATCCAATCATGTGCTAGTAAAAATACAGGGGTCTATTCACAAAGCTGCCGAAGGATCTAGCCGTAGCTCCGGACGATCCTTCGGCTAGCTTCGACCCCAGGACCCCTTCGGTTCAGTAGAACCGAAGGGCTGCTGTACAGGCTATTCATAGCCCATACAACTCCCGAAGTTGCCCGAGGGGCTCAGTCGAGCCCAAGGCATATCCTTCGGCTCGGCTGAGCCGAGGTGAAAGCTGAAGCTTGATTTTTTAACTGTTTTTCTATTCTGCTCGATACCACAGGAGGTACCGAGCAGAACAGCTGAGCCGAATGCCGCTCGGCGGCATTTTTAGTCGGTGTACGGAGTCTGTGTATGGCTGAAATCAGCCGTACAAGCCTGAAGTGAATAGCCGAACAGCGTTCGGGGCAGCTTTGTGAATAGATCCCACAGTTTTTTTTATTTTCCTTGCACATGATTGGGTATTCTTTGCAAATTAAAAAATCACATAATTCACCAAGCTAAAGGGAAACTTCCCCTGCAAAGTGCCAGTTACCTTAAAAAGGTAACAGTCTATTTGACTTAAGTAAATCAACCCCAAATAACTCTTTAATCAGCATTGTATAACACATAATCATATAGTGTGCAGTGGTCAAAACTATGTAATGTGCAGCATAGCCTACACAGTGCAATGGTCAGAAATATGTAATGTACAACATAGTATTTACAGCTTAGGACTTTGTTGTGTACAGCACAGCTTGCAGAGTGTAGTAGTCGGGAGTAAGTTCCCCCTTAAATAATGGTCAGTGATGAGTCTCTAATTTACTAATGTACTCCTGTGACCCAAACCCAGTATATAGCGGACTACTGCCCAGAACCACACTGCAGCCAGGAAGGATCCCAACAATATTGTCCATATCACCCCGCTGCCTGATTGACAACTCTCTAGAGCCAAAGCCAGCTATGCCTGCCCCTCCCCTGTCTGTCCCTCCAATGTGTGCTGGAGCAACAGCGAGGGGAGTGGGGAATCCCTGCGGAGAGCATAAACTGACAGTCACAGCTCACTGCATGGTTTGAGATCACTCAGTTCTTGATCTATAATGCCGGCGTATGATAGCTGCAGTGTCTCAGGTTGGTTCAAAGTATTGACTCCTCTAATACTGCTCTTTTAAATGTTGGTTGTCAGTGGTGTGTACCTCCTTAAATGTTGGTGATGTCCCTCCCATTACATTGGCGTTCAGTTGTCTATGTGCATATTTGGGTGGTTTCTTTGTCTTTTACTTCCTGAGTCTCTGCAGAGTGACACAATGCTGGAACAATGCAGGCAGCAATGGATGGGGTGTCACTGCGTATGCACTGTCATCCTAATGCAGAGCATGTCGCAGTGGCAGGCAGAGTGATAAGATCTATTAGAGGTCTCAATGGACCCAGGGCACCAGGTAGGGGACCCTTGGACACTTTCTTCAAGTTTCCTGGTCTAACGATGACTACATTTGTCATACTAGGAAAGGATGTTACAATTGGAACTTTTGAAGGATAGGTTGTGGGAGAGTTGGGTAGCTCTTATAGTGATGTTTTGAGATTTTGAAAACCATAAAAAAGTGGCGTAAAAAATGGTTGAGAAATTAGGTAATAAGGACAAAAGTAAAACCTTACTATATCAATGCTGTATGAAGCATAAAATATAAAATACTTCCCATTCTATACAAAACATATTCTGAATCAGTTCAGTGCATGCCACAAAATACAAACCAAGACTGATGTTATACAAACCGCATGCTCTTAGCTTTGATCTAAGTTGTACCCACAGAATGTAAACCACAATATATATTCTGAAATGCTGCCGAAAACATAAACCACAAATCCGTATTTAATAGTGTAAGCAAAGATTAATTTTATTCAGCGTATGAAACATATTTATTTAGCTATATATACAAGTATTTGTAGAGACAAATTCATTTCTGGAAATGCTGAAAATATACTGCCTGTATGAACATAATGCCTACATTCAGTACTTAGAAAAGTGCATGATTCTTGCAATCCTTAGAGGGATGTGTTGTCTCTCTGGAGGATGCATTGAGACAGTGTGCACATGGGCTTGGACAGATCAGGGAAATACTTAAAAATACCTGGCCCAAAGTTATGTAAGAAAGTCAAGAGATATTTGGACAGCCTTTTATTATGTTTTTCTTTTTTGCATATGGCCATTTTCATCTTTAGAGCTTTGCCCTTTCTGTGTCCCTGTTGCAGACAGTGGTGTGTACAGGTGTTTGATTTTTCAACTAATGGCGACAGCTAAAGACATGACAAACAACCAAAGGGAGGTAGGAAATGATCAAGGAAGAAATAATAACAGACAGGTTACGGAACAATATTAGAGGCAGAAGGTTGTGGATAGTGGAGAACAGATGAGCAACAGAGACCAGTGGACAAGCTATGGCCCTAAACATAGGGGTCTATTCACGAAGCAGCCGAAGGATCTAGCCATAGCTTCGGCTTATCCTTCGGCTAGCTTCGGCCCCAGGACCCCGGCCTGGAGCGGGAGACTCCCAGAGTGCCCGGGAGAGGTTTTTTTTCTTCTATTTTCCTGACAGAAGCAGAACCGCCGGCCAATAGAAAACTGTTGGGCGGAGCTAGCTGTCATTGCTAGCTCCGCACAATCGTTTTCTATTTACTTTTTTTGTACTTTTTAAACTATTTTTCTGTTCTGCTTGGCCCCGCTGAGGGACCGAGCAGAACAGCCGAGCCGAATGCCGCTCGGCTGAGTCGAACTCCTTCTACACTTCAGGTCGGCCGAACATGCGGAGCATGTTCGGCCGACCCGAAGCCATGCAAAGCAAGCCGATGTACGGCTGATTTCAGCCGATATACGGCTGAAATCAGCCGTACAAGCCTGAAGTGAATAGACGAACAGTGTTCGGCTCACTTCACTTGGGGTCGGTTGTTCACTCGGCTGCCCTCGGCAGCTTAGTAAATCGACCCCTTAGTACATAGTTAGTCAGGTTGAAAAAAGACACAAGTTCATTGAGCTCAACCTATAGAGTTTATATAGTACTGATCAGAATTCAAAGAACATTCACAAAGAGCAATAGCACCACTTAGCTGGATTTATATTTGCTGCTCAGTGAAATCACAGGTATGAAGATGCCAAGGTTGCACTCTATATTGCAATCAACAAAGGATGCAGATGTGCCCCTAGGAACCAGGTTACTTCCCACCTCATGAAACATCTTCAGCAATAAAGCTGGCCATTTGAAGTTGGGAATAGTAGCTGTCCATGGGAGCCACTGCTTCTGCAAATCCTAATGTGAAGGTCAAGCAGTGGTTGGTCCTGTTTTTTTGAGGATTGGCAGTACTCTTGAAGGAATCTATGGAAAAAGAGGAAAGTCTGTTCTTAAAGCTTGACTTTTCTATTTGTGACAGTGTTACCAGTTAGTTACTGCTATAATTTATTGCCACTGCTGATTAGCAAGATGATCCAATGAGCTGTAAAGCGTTACTGCCACTCCCCCAATTCCCAGTTGAACATGCCCCGATATCTTGAGGGTAAAAGGCTGAAACATAACACCAGCGCGTGAGCTAGTGTAGGCAGCCATGTCTCCAGAGAATTTTACATTTCAATTATGTGGTTGGCTTCGTCCATCCTCCCCTTGTGATTCCTGTACCTCAATACCTAAACCAGTTCCCATTTATTATACAACACTAGATCATCATCAAACCTACCTAGCCAAAAATGATCCACACTGGTATTGGGTATGAGCCCTCCCCGCCCATACTATATTGCAGAATGGGAAAGGGATCTTAATTGTTCCTTGACGGATGAAGATGTCCACATATCATTTATTCTTATGCATAAGCTCACACTTGAGAAAAGCTATATATTGTTGAGTAGATGATATCGTAGCCCGCATGTGCTCCATAAAATGATACGCTTGAACCGTGGTGTCTGCAAGCTAGCATGTAAAAAAACTTGTCTCACACTAAGGTTAAAAACAGAGGTTTGGATACATGTCTTCTGCAGAAAATGTGAAAGCCGCACAGCCGCGCCAAGGCACCTCTTATAGTGCGGTCATAACTCTAAACTATCAGAGCCTCCATCTTGGAGCACATGGGGCAGAAGATAAAATTGGGTGCAGGTTTGTCAGGAGGAAGCCCAACACCCTAAAGGCACAGAGACGAACAAGGGATCCCGCACATCCCAATGGC